GAGATTTAATGAGAAGACATTGAAGAAGCAGGAAAGGACTTAGGCCCAGAGCATAAACATTCCCTCCCGACAGACAACAAGCCGGGAGACACAAGTCCAACCCTTTCCTGCAGCCTCTACTACTGGGCTCCAAGCCCACCTCTTCCAGGTAGGCTCCCTTGTTGCTTCAGGTCACACTGATCAATCCTGAAGAGAAGAGGCTGCGCCCCTATCTCCAGCTTTGCCTTCTCTCTGTCCTGGGCTAGTCTTTCTGGCTTAGGAGATGATCTTGGGAGGCTCCAGGGTAATCAGTGTGTCTGTTTGCCCCTCTAGAGTAGAAACAAAGTTAGAAATGGATCAAAGGGGCCAGCAAACTGTCCCATTTGGCTGTGTTTGACAGTCACAACTGTATTTTCTGTTGGGACATGGCCACAAGCAGATCCCCCTCTGGGAAATGAAGTTGTCAGGGAAGCTCAAGTACCTGGTGTTTCAACCCCCAGATGAGACTCTGTAGGTCAGGCACTGCAGTGGAGGGACACAAAGTTCAAAGAATCTATGTCAGTGTCCCTTAAGGTTATATCAGCTGTGGTGCCTGTTCCCACAAAGTCTGGGGGGTCCCAGGCCCCAGGACCTGACATGGGGTCTCTATAAATAGAGCCATCTCATATTGATCAGCTTAAAAAGACACGGTATGTTCTAGACCCAAGGGAGAGGAGAGTTGTATCTAAAAATAGCCTCATTCCCAGGAACTGCTGCCAGCCAGAGGAAAGTGATGTAGGCACACAGAAGGGACCGTCCACTGATGGGGGTGGGGTTAGAACTGAGGCTTGGCACCTCTCCATCCCTATTTCATTCTCTCTGCTCTAGACATAGCAGACAACCATGGAGCTTCTGCCTCAGGGCCTTTGCACAGGCAGTTTCCTTTTCCGTCTTCTCTACGCACATCTTTTTTGTTCTTCAGGTCTCAGATCAGCTGCCTCCTTCAGGAGGTTTGCCCAGGTCAGGCAGGCTAGAATCACCTGTCTCTCATCACGGACTCCTGTCTCATCTCTTCCCAGCACTTGCCACTACCTAAAATTATCTTCTGTATATGTGTTTCATGGTATCTAGTCTCTTTCCCCATTAGTGTACAAACTTCACAGGGCAGATTTTGAATCTATCTTGAAGACCTTTTAGAACCTTCCAGAGCACAAAGTAGGTGCTGGATGTTCTCTCCAGGTTCTCCATCCTGTCCTCTAGGGTGGACTCCTCTGTTTCAGAACTCTGAGTGAGGCCAGCCTTGGCCAACAGAAGATGGGGGTATCTGCCTCAGGTCCACACCCAGGTCTCTTCTATCCTTGAAACTGCCCTGCTTTCCAAAATGCCTGACTTCTGTCTGTGCCTCTCTCTCTCTCTCTCTCTCTCTCTCTCTCTCTCTCTCTTAGCCATGGGACTTTTGTTCCAGGCCCTCTTCTTGCCACCCTGTGGTTTAGCCATGGGACTTTTGTTCCAGGCCCTCTTCTCCAAATCCTGTCATCACGAAACCTGCTCTGGGTAAGCTTATCCTGAGTCCCCTCATTAGCTCCCCTCTATCTTTCTCCTTCAATCATCAAACCCTTCAAAGTGCTGTCTGCACATGCTGTCCCCCATCCTCACCTCCTACTCACTCCTTAATCCACTCCAAACCAGTTTGTACCCCCAATGTGTTCATTCACCAGAGTCCATCCACCTAGGAAGGCACCATGTCCTGTGGGCTCAGAGAGTGCCAGCTTCCTTGCCAAGGTCATTGGCACCCTCGCTGTGGCTCAATCTAATGGGCACTTTTCTCTAAATTATTCATTCTTGTTCATCTGTCCATGAACAAGCCAGAAGGTACCTTCTAAAAAAAAAATCTCTCAGCAGCAACAAGGGATTCCCCTTGCCCTGGAGACAGGCACCCCCTGCCTTCTATCTGTGCCACTGGCCTCTCCTGGTTTTCTGCCTGCTTCTTTCTCAGCCTCATTCGACTACTTCTGCCTGGACTGTTGAGTATCTCTGAGCTCCTGGCTGGAGCCTTTCCCATTCTCCTTCTAACTCCATCAGAATCACCTGTTTGTTTTCAAAAGAAAGATGCCCACTCCACCACAGAATCACATACCTAGGGATGGCACATCAGTGCAGGAATCTTAATACAAAGCTTACTGAGACATGTTTCAATGGCTAGCATGGGAATATGGGGGTCTGCAGCCCAGCCATGCAATCTAATTCACTACCACAGTGCCAATGACCAGCTTCAAACTCCTACTTCCAGCCCAGATCTCCTTCCAGAAGCTTCCTTCCTGGATCCTTACCTCCAACATTCAGTTGGAAGTTGCATCTCTCAGATCAAGCTTGCCCACCCAGACTTCATCTGCCTCATTTCATCCTTCACTATGCACTATGGTGTAAAGAGGTGGGTGCCTCTGAATGAGCCGTGGAAGGAGGGTGACAGATTCCACAGTGGAGGACACCACAGGCTCTGTCATCAGTGACTTGTCTGTCAATACTCCCTCAGTTGCAAGACTTTTAAAGGTCTGCACAGGTCTGATTTGTGCTGGGGAGGTGCATGGTAGGTATGTCTGGTCTCCAGCCAAATTGTGCTACTTAGGAGACATGTGGCAGAGACCTAGTTACTATCTGTCCCCTTCCTAGCCTCTAGTTTCACCATCTGCAAAATGGCCATGACTGTGTTCCCCACCTCTAGGGCTGATGTGGGACACTCGGAGAGATGAGCCCTATGAAGGGCCTGGCGTGGCCCTGGCCTTCAGAAAGCACTCAGTGCCTGTTAGCTATTTTTAGAACCATTACTGAGGATAAATTCCCAACTCCTGAGCAGAGCTCGCAAACACCCCCACAACGAGATCTCGGCTTTCGTTCTGCAGATCTCTCTTACATCATGGGACCCAACAATCACTCAACTAACAGTGCTGTTTTATCATGCTGTGCTTTGTTCTTACTGATTGATTCTGATGGTTGGACCACACTGTCCATTTTGGAAAACTCCTGTTGATGCCTCAATGCCTAGGTGGAAGGTTATTTATATTACAATTATCCTTGACTCTCTTGATCAAAGATAATTGTAGCTTCTTTTGCATTTCTGGTAATACTTCTATCATTGCACACTCTTCCAAACGCCTTTCCAAGGATGGACAGAAACCAGTTTCCTGTGAACGGGTCTGCTGTTTCTCTTTGCCCCGTGTGGCCCTCAGGACCCTCTTGTCTTTGGATTGCCTGGCCCCAGTGTCCCGTGCTCCCTGCTCCTAGCTGTCTGTGGTACTTCCACCATTCCTCTCCATTTGCTCTTCAAGCCAAGTGAGTCAACTCTGGAATTCTTCCAGAGGCACTCTGATCACCACCACACACAGGGAGGGACCAGGCCAGGCACCCTAGAGGGTGGCAGCTGCCTATGCCACATTGGGCTTTGAAAGTGGGTTCCTAACACCTCAGGGCCACTTCCCTTTTCTGCTCTGACACTCTTTGATCAGTTCTAGGCCAATTTGGCCCTTGGGAAATCGATCCTAAGAGATCTTCACCCTAAGTGGTATCCTTAATCCAATGATTCGGTGTGACCTTGGGTAAGTCCTTGACCTCTTTGGTTCTCAATTTTCCCACTTGTACAATGTAGTGTCAATGACAGGTTAGATGAAAAGTTGAACAAGGCTTTTTTCAATGCCTTGGGCATTCTAACAAAGAATTGGTGTCTCATGCTCTGGTTGTTCTCGAATCTTCCCCTGTGTTTCTGAGACAGCAGCCTGTCCCATTTTCATTCCGCCTTGCTGTGTATGACCACAACTTATATGCACCTGCCCCATTCTAACTGGGAGGACACAGAGATGAGTAAAGGGCAGCATGGGGGGATGGGGCTGGGCTCTTGGTGGCCTAGGCCTCTGGGATAGGTGCTAGGGGTCTCTCTTAGTCCTAAAGGATGGTGAGCCTGAAGATGAGTGTGGGTCCTTTCCTTGTGCCTCTCTGGATGGTTGCTGGCTGAGCTATCTGGGAAATAGCAGTTCAAGACCCCAAGGCCATGCTGATCCCATGGTCCCACTGGACTTAAGTCACTAAGAAGACAAGAGTGAGTTCTGCGGCTGCTGTGCACTGCCCTCCAACAGGTGTTTGGAAGGCTGGCCTGCAGCCAGGGCCTGGTCCCTAGCATTTCTCACATCAAGAATACCACCACCACTAGTCCCTACCACATTGCTGTCCCCACCAGTCCTAGAACCCTTGGACAAAGCCAGGCACCTCCACTTCCTTGGAGGATGCTGAAGACAAACAACACTGGGGTTGGGAGCTGCTTCCCGTCAGGGTCTGTAGTGGTCAAAGCGAGGAGGGCGGAGAACTCTCTGGAATCTCCGCACCTGGAGATCTCTCTCCTCTTGGTGGGCACAGAGACTGAGAGGAGATGCGATCACTTCTAGGCGACCCCAGGGCACTGAGATTTCGGCGTGGTGGGGGCGCCCAGAGACAGGGCACACACGTAGGTCTGTCCCCCCGATAGAGCGCCCAGAGATTTCTGCCTGGGGTGCAGAGATCTCGTCTAACCTAGGGCACAGCCTAGGTGCCAGGTTCCCCGGGCCCAGGGAAAGGGAACGCTCGGCCTGCTCCCCGGTCAGGGTCAGCCCTCTCACCCCGGCTCTCCAGAGTCACATTCTCCGCGCGCCTTGTGGCCGCTCTGACCTTGGGGTCTCTGGCCTGGGGAATCCGGGTCCCAATCCCAGCCCCTTGGCGAGCCTGCGCCAGGGATGGCCGCGGAACCGGGACCGGAGCTTCCCATCCCCAGGCCCTCGACAGCGCAAGGGAAACACGGAAGGGCAGGGGACGGGAGGGGACCCGCGGCGCCCAGAGACGCCCCCCCCGGGGGGGGAATCCTCTCCAGCCGGGCCACCTGCGCCTGCCGCCCCTCCCCCCTCGGGGACACCGGCGGTATCGGGCCGGGGACCGGTGACTCCGGGCCATCGGGGAGGAAAGTTGGGCGGCGGCGGGCGGAGGGGGCTCCCGGCGGCCGGCGCTGCGGGGCGCACGCTCACCTGCTAGTCCCCGGCCCGGGCCCCGGGGTGGGCGGCTGCGGCGTG